AAAAAAAAAAAGATTGGGCTGGATTGGCCGGGCGTGGTGGTTCACACCTGTAATCCCAGCACTTTGGGAGGCCAAGGCGGGTGGATCATCTGAGGTCAGAAGTTCAAGACTAGCCTGGCCAACATGGTAAAACCCTGTCTCTACTAAAAATACCAAAATTAGCCAGGTGTGGTAGCACACACCTGTAATCCCAGCTACTTGGTGGACTGAGGCAGGAGAATCACTTGAACCTGGCAGATGGAGGTTGCAGTGAGCTGAGATCATGTCACTCCACTCTAGGCTGGTCAACAAAGCGAGACTCCGTCTCAAAGAAAATTGGGCCGGGTGTGGTGGCTTATGCCTGTAAATCCCAGCACTTTGGGATGTCGAGACGAGTGAATCACTTGAGCTCAGGAGTGTGAGACCTGCCTGAGCAATATGGTAAAACTCTGTCTCTACCAAAAATATGAAAAATTAGCCAGGTATGATGGCGTGTCCCTGTGTCCAAGCTACTCAGGAGTCTGAGGTGGGAAGATTGCTTGAGCCTGGTACGTGGAGGTTGTGGTGAGCCAAGATCACAACACTGCACTCCAACCTGGTTAATAGAGTGAAACCCCATCTCAAAAGGAAAGAAAATCATATATTTTAAATTTGTGACTACTTGGCATATTTTGCTCCACAAAATCTAGTTGTAATTTAGTTCTCAAGTTTTTAACTCATTAAACAATAAATGTTTTCTGAGCTATTATGTTCCAGGAATGATTTTCAGATTCTAGGGCTATAGTAGTAAATAAAGCAAAAATTCTTGTCCTCAGAAGAGCTTAATATTACATTCTAGTAAACATGGATATCTGTAGAGACAGAAAACACAAGTTAACAGAATATATAGTGTATTAGAATGATGTGTGGCAGAGAAAAAAGTACAGGAGAGCCATAGTGATTGGCAAGAGGTTACTTTTTCTTAATTTTTTTTTTTTTTTGAGACAAGAGTCTCGCTCTGTCGCCCAGGCTGGAGTGCAGTGGCGCAATCTCCGCTCACTGCAAGCTCCGCCTCCTGGGTTCGCGCCATTCTCCTGCCTCAGCCTCCCAAGTAGCTGGGACCACAGGCGCCCCACCACTATGCCCAGATAATTTGTGTGTGTGTGTGTGTGTGTGTATATATATATGTATACACACACACATATATATTTGTATTTTTAGTAGAAATGGGGTTTCACCGTGTTAGTCAGGATGGTCTCAATCTCCTGACCTCGTGATCCACCCACGTAAGCTTCCCAAAGTGCTGGGATTACAGGCGTGAGCCACCACGCCCAGCCAGTTATTTTTATTTTTATTTTTTTCAGACAGGGTCTCGCTCTCTCATCCAGGCTAGAGTGCAATGGCGCAGTCTCGGCCCACTGCAACCTCCGCCTCCTGGGTTCAAGCGATTCTCCTGCCTCAGCCTCCCGAGTAGCTGGAACTACAGGTGTGCGCCACCACGTCCAGCTAATTTTTTGTATTTTTTTTAGTAGAGATGGGATTTCACCATGTTGCCCAGGAGAGTTTCAAACTCCGGAGCTCAGACAGTCGTCCTGCCTCGCCCTTGCAAAGTGCTAGAATTACAGGTGTGAGCCACCATGCCTGGTCTAGAGGTTATAAGTTTGAATAAGTAATTTGAAGGAGATGGAGTTGTCTGTCATGCTGATATCTGAGGGAGGAGTGCACCAAAATGAGAGTGCAGCGTGCAAAAGCGACATGAAACTGCTTGTGCCCAGCAAGGGAGAACAACAGTGAGGAGCCCCGTAAGAGGCATGCAACAGGGTATAGATGGGAATGGTGGAGGGCTATGGGGAGATTACAGATGCCCCTGTAGATAATCATAGAGAATTCTGGCTTTTATTTTGAGTAGGGTAAGAGCAGTGGAGGATTTGAGTAGAGGGACGATGTGATCTGACTTAGGGTTACCGTAACTCTGACTGCTTTGTAGGGAAGAGACTGACGTGGGACAAGGGTGAAATCAGGGAGAGTGGTTAGGAGACCATTGCAATAATCCAGGCTGGTGGCAGTGGAGTAGGGTTGCCACATTTAGCAAATAAAAATACAGGACACCCAGTTAAATTTGAATTTCAGGTAAACAATATTTTTTGTATCTCTCATCTAACATTGGGAAATTCAAGTTTTACTTGGTATTCTATTTTATCTGGCAACCCTCCAGTTGCCAGAAAGGAGGGAGTGAGGAGTGGTCAAATTCTAGATATATTTTGAAGGAATTAGTTTAGTATTTGCTGACAGACTGGATGTGAGACTAAGAAAAGGGAATTGAGGAGGACTTAGATTTTGGCCTAAGCACCTGGAAGATGAAATCGTCCTTAAATAAAACGGGAAGACCACAGGAGGAGAGTGTTTAGGGGAAATTATGAGGATCTTGGCTTTGAACATTGTCTTAGTCCATTTTGTGTTGCTATAACTGAATACCACAGCTAGGTGACTTAAATAAATTTATTTCTCACAGTTTTTGAGGCTGGAAAGTTCAATATCAAGGTACCAGTATCTGGAGCTCACTTTTATAGCAACCCACTCTAGTGATAATGAATTCACTTCTGAATGCACTCCAGTTTACCCACTTACATTAATCTATTCATGAGGCTGGAGTACTCATGGCCTAATCACCTCTTAACAATGCTACCTCTTAATACTATCACAGTGGTAATTAAATTTCAGCATAAGTTTTTGGAGGGGACATTTAAACCATAGCATTCAGCTATGTGGATTCAGCATGTGAAAGCTGCATATACGGATGCCTAGTTTTTCATATATGCTAGTTCTGCAGGGCTGGCTTCTGGACTTGAGTGTGTGTAGATTTTGGTATATTGTTGGGATCGGGCTGTGTCCTGGAACCAATCCCCAACATATGCAGAGGGACAACTGTAGTTCCCTTAACTGAGGTTAATGATTACTAGTTGTATGAAGGGATCACCCCAAAATTTTATACTTTCCTTCTGAAAGAATTTTGGTGATGAAGAGCTATAATCTGAAAGGGGCTTTTTCTGAGAGTTTATGGAGGAAAGTAACACAGATGAAATTATGCTTTTTGGCCGGGCGCGGTGGCTCAAGCCTGTAATCCCAGCACTTTGGGAGGCCGAGACGGGCGGATCACAAGGTCGGGAGATCGAGACCATCCTGGCTAACACGGTGAAACCCCGTCTCTACTAAAAA